TTAAAAGATGACTTTTGATCGGATGCTGGAAATGGGAAGGAACTGAGCCTCCAGCCTGTATCTCGCATCAACCAAGGTCGGAAAACAGTCATTGACAATCCCGCGTTCAAAAACAAAAAAAAATATATAAAATACTCACAAATTAAAAGAAAAATCTTGGATATAAAATTCATAACATATCCTTATCAAAAGCGGTTTTATAAGAGTAACATTACACCCATAATATAGGAATTATTTCAGTATTTTATTGCCTCGATAGTGTTTTTATTATAAAAACGAATATTTATTTATTTATTGCTTTACAAATATGGAGATTTTGTAACGTTTGTCAATGAGTTTGTACGCTTATAAGAACCTCGTTTTTTACTGCATAGTTCGGTAAACCAGCAGTCAGATTAAATGTGGGAGAGCCATGCTTCGGCACGAATGGGTCCGCTCGACCGGAGTGATAGCACGGCCTCACAGAAAACCGGCGTGAAGTAACAACACCGTTGCGTTTCGCTGTGTAAGTGAGGTTACCGGAGGCCCAATCCTTCCCCTCCCCCAATCTCTCCTCAATCCCTAAATCTCTAAATCCCTAATCCCTAAAAGGTCGGCAACGCACTCGTAAATCCTCCGTTGCGGGTGTCCATGGGCGGCGCTGATTGCTTACCATCAGGTAATCCGTCTAGTCGTTTGCCTACCAATCACATAAAAAAAAAAGATTACCTAATGGTAAGCAGCGGATGCTGACCATGGATACTCGTAATTCAGCCGGGGTTGCGGGGTAAGCGCAATGAGGCACCGCGACCTCGGCCCAGAGCAGGAGAAGGAACAGGGGGTTTTTAGTCAGTAAGAGTCTGACACTCCCTCCCGCCTGGCCCTGAGAAGTCATGTGATGATTTTCACCTCACAAAAAAAAAATGGGTACTCGTAATACCACAGGATTATGAATTGTATACAGTCCTATTTAGTAGATCTAATAGTTTAGCCCATACCAATTACTGCAAACAACTATAGCAGCTCACACATAGGTCCCATTACAATAACAATACTTAGAAAATTTTCTGTGGTGTTCGGTGACTGGGCTTCTCCCAGTTGTACAGTCTCTTCTGTGCCTTTAAGGCTTAAGTCATTCTGTCTCCTGCATTCAATTTACCGAGGGAAGTGGAAACTATTTCGTTTTTTCTTCTCCTCAAATAATATCTTCGGATTTATTACCACGCGCCGGATTTCAGTGTTCCGATGTTTTCATGGTTGTATCTACTGTAGATCCTGGTGTACAGGAGTTGCAGCGGTTTTTGGAGATTGCACTGGGCTTTCCTCAAATAATATCTTCTGATTTATTTCGTTGCGGGATCCAAGACAGTCATTCATGTCCCTGGGACGCGCCGGACTTCAGTGTTCCGGTGTTTTCATGGTTGTATCTACTGTAGATCCTGGTGTACAGGAGTTGCAGCGGTTTTTGGAGATTGTACTGGGCTTTCCTCAAATAATATCTTCTGATTTATTTCGTTGCGGGATCCAAGACAGTCATTCATGTCCCTGGGACGCGCCGGACTTCAGTGTTCCGGTGTTTTCATGGTTGTATCTACTGTAGATCCTGGTGTACAGGAGTTGCAGCGGTTTTTGGAGATTGTACTGGGCTTTCCTCAAATAATATCTTCTGATTTATTTCGTTGCGGGATCCAAGACAGTCATTCATGTCCCTGGGACGCGCCGGACTTCAGTGTTCCGGTGTTTTCATGGTTGTATCTGCTGTAGATCCTGGTGCACAGGAGTTGCAGCGGTTTTTGGAGATTGTAGTGGGCTTTGCTCAAATAATATCTTCTGATTTATTTCATTGCGGATTTCTGTGAGGCCGTTGTATCACTCCGGTCGAGGTGACCCATTCGTGCCGAAGCATGGCTCTCCCACACTTAACATGGCTCTCCCACACTTAGCATGGCTCTCCCACACTTAACATGGCTCTCCCACACTTAGCAGGGCTCTCCCACACTTAAGGATTAGGTACATGAGTAAAATGAATCGCGTCTTAAGCCTGGAGTAGGAGAAGGAAGAAAAAAGAGAGAGAAAAATAAAAACCATAAAAAGTCCTTATTTATGGTTTAGTTGGAATAAATGATTTTGACTTTGTAAGTACCTAGAAAAGGGAAAACCCACAGGGAAAACCAGGTTCAAAAATAAAACTTCACAATATTTATAAGAAACTTTATTTGTAAGTATATTTTTTCATAATATTAGGTATTTTATTTACAAAATATAATCATTTATATAATATGTAGGTATATATTCCGTGTTTACCTTAAAATAATTTCCTTATTTCTACGTTTTTTTCTATGTGATAGGTCGGCAAACGAGCAGACGGATTACCTGATGGTAAGCAATCAGTGCCGCCCATGGGCACTCGTAATACCAAAGCAGTTACTACGCTTGCGTTACCATTCTCTTGTGGGTTGTTAGGGATTTATGGATAGGGGATTTGAGGATATAATAGGGGAGGGGGAGGCATGGCCCTCCGGTAACCTCACCCTCACAGTGAAATACAAACGTAAGTATTGCTTCAAGTCGGTTTGAATAGTTTGACTTTTCAATACAATTAATTATTAAAATATAATTTGACTACACATAGATACTTAAGATGTTTTCTAGTTAACTTTTTAGAAATAGGTATGCTGTTTGACGTCAAAACATGATGACGATATATGTTGCGATCTCATACAAAATTCATAGAAAAGTATAGTTTTTGACATTTGGATAAAAGTATTGAATTTGACCTAGGAAACTACCGTAGGTATTGTGTAGTTTCCTAGGTCAAAAATTAAATTAATTCGACGTTACAATACAATAAAATATTGAAAAATAACTATACTTTTATTCATCGATCCGTCGATATTGTAAATTTACGATACCTTTAGCTAATTTTAAAGAAATAAGTAAGCTATTTGACGCAAAAAAATACTATGTCATAATGTGGAGTTTCATACAGATTTCAGATTAGTTTTTGACATTTGGATAAAAGTATTGAATTTGACTAGTTGGAAACTACCGACTATCTAGATTCTAGATAGATTCAGTGTATTGGTCAATTAATAACCGCCCGACTAGAACCAGGCCCGAGCGTATGGCGCGTAGCGTTCCGCGCGCGCCTCAAAGAGCCATTCGACCACTACAGACGGGGCCCTATAGGGCTGATGTTCAGCCGGGGTTGCGGGGTAAGCGCAATGAGGCACCGCGACCTCGGCATTGAGCAGGAGAAGGAACGGGGGGGTTTTAGTCAGTAAGAGTCTGACACTCCCTCCAGCCCGGCCCTGGGCGGGAGAAGTCATTTGATGATTTTCCCTTCACAAAAAAACACTCTAAACTTAATAGAAAACCAAAAAAACACATATCCATATATAGGTAAATCATATATTTATTTATAATAAAAACACAAATTATGATAATAAAAAAATAACAAAATATAATCCTTTTATTCCATATAATACAATACTAAATACATATTTATTGCCAATGGGACATTTTTTATTCGTACAAAACCAGCCAGTACACGGTAAATTTTAGATTTGAGACGTATATGAAAAAATAAATTTAACCAAAGATTTTAAAGGGAAAGACACATCATCATGAAGACCTCCTTGGAGTAGGGTCGCCAGAGATAAGGGTTGAGCTTCCGATACGACTTTTTTATGGTATAAGTCAGAAAACGAGCAGACGGATTACCTGATGGTAAGCAATTAGCAATCATCTTTGAGAGCTATGGAAAGGGCTATGCTCGGAGTCTCTCTAAAGGATCGTATTCGAAACGAGGTGATCCGACAGAGAACTAAAGTTATCGACATAGCCCAATGGATTAGCAAACTGAAGTGGCAGTGTGCAGGTCACATCTGTCGAAGAACCGATGACCGCTGGAGTAAACGTGTTCTAGAGTGGAGACCACGTCTAGGCAAACGTAGTGTAGGGCGCCCTCCAGTTCGGTGGACTGACGACATACGCAGGGTGGCTGGTAGTGGTTGGATGAGAAGAGCTGAACATCGAGTTCAATGGCGTTGGCCCATGTCCAGCAGTGGACGACAACAGGCTGATGATGAAGCAATCAGCGGCGCCCATGGACATCCGCAACCAAAGAGGTTACGGGTGCGTTGCCGATCTTTTAGGGATAAGGGTTTCAGATATTTAAGGATTAGGACTTTTTACTTTCTATGATTATTTAGACACCACTGACATACGGTGAAGGTAAACATCGTGAGGAAACCTGGACTTATAATTTCTAATTATAAGTTTGAAATCGCCAACCCGCATTGAGCAAGCGTGGTGATTAATGCACTAGCCTTCTCCGTATGAGAAGAGGCCTTTGCTCAGCAGTGGGCACTAATAGGCTGATGATGATGATGATGAAGGATTAGGAAGGGATGGGGCATGGATTGGGCCTCCGGTAAACTCACTCAGACGGCGAAACACAACGCTGTGGATTTCACGCCGGTTTTCTGTGAGGCCGTGGTATCACTCCAGTCACTTTTGAAGGTTTAGGTACTATCTCCGGACTTTTTTATTACTCAACAAAGGAGTAAGCAGAGAAGGCATGTACCAAACAATTCAAATACACATATAAAAACCATTTACCAAAGTAAAAATGGTAATTTAACCTCGCACGTCTAAAAAATAGACAATTTTTTTTTAATTCCTTCTATTACCGTGATTGTGAGACGAAAAAACTCAATTACACTTTTACCGACATAGGTATACAACTAAAGCAACTATATATACAAGACTTTTAATTAATATAAACTATATTGAGATACAATCTAAATTAATTATGAAATACGGTTTAGTCACGTAATTGTTCGATGTAGCTCGATTGATTTCGTGTTTGTGACGTAATCACTCTATATAGAGCCCGGCTTCAACAAACTTGCAAATAGTAGAATCGATGTTTGTCACGACTAAACATTATGAGCTCCGGTTCTACCTTGAAAATGGTCGAGCAAACTCGAAAAGTTACGCAAGTACATATACCGTAATTAAGCATCAAAATTATATTCCTCGGAAATCAAATCCATATTAGCTGTTTTAGCTTGTAAAATATCATCAAGAGCTATATTATCGTTATAGCTATCTTTATTTTCACGGGAATTTTCGTTATTTTCACCAATTTCAGCATCTAACGCTGCCATTAGCTTATCATCGTCGTCTGTCTCAGAATTCTTCACTCTATCGTTACTGACTATGACACTAACGGTATTTTTCACATCGTTATTACTAACATAACGATTATTCTCGTTAAAATCATCTTTGCATTGATTTTCTGTTGTATCTTGTGACGAATTCGTTTCGTTTTCCGTTAGTTTCGGATCTACACTGGAGTTATCAGTTAGCGATTTATTTTCATCGTTATTTTCTGATAGTGTTGTGGGATTATCGACATTATTTTTATCGATGTCGGCATTTTCTTTCTCACATTCACTAGCTCCATCGCTTTGAGTATAATCATTTAATAAACTTTCGCTAGCAGTACCTATTGAACTAGATTCCTGACTATTCTCATCAATACCATCCTTTTTAGCATTTTCATGATTAATCGACTTACAATTTTCAACTCTATCATCATTAGAAAAAGAACTATTATCGTTAGAAACATCATTCTTTTCACTTTCATTAATTTCCTTATTATTACAATTATCTACATTACTATTTGTATTCGAATCGTTATTCTTAACATCATTACCTATAACTCCGTTATCGTTAAAACTTAAATCATTAATAGTACCGTTATTAACATTATCTATACTCCTCCCATCGTTATCTTTGACACTAATTAAATTATTTGAACTTGTAACATTGCACTCACCACTTATCTCACTTCCATCGTTACTTACAGCTAAACTATCGTTATTATCGACACCGTCGTTACTATTAACCACTTCACTAAACTTATCTCCGTTATTTTGGTCATCATTATTAACTTTAACACTATCGTTAAATTCATTGTCTTTATTTCTATCTCCGCCATTATCATTATCGTTATCATTATCATCTCGTAAATTATTAATTATGTTATTAATATCGTTAGAAACGTCATCTTCTTCCGTTAGAAGGGAGTCAAACAAATTCTTCTCCGGTTTGACTCTTCTTCTCTTTTTCGGCACTTTACCGAGACATTTTCTGGAGAATAGAGTTTTTAGACTTAGTTTCGCTAGGGAGTCTATTTTCTTTTCTTTTTCGGAGATGAGAGAGCAGGATTCTGCGTCGCTTTCGCTCTCGGAGTCCCAATGAACGTAGTCTTCGGCGTCGTAGAATTCGTTCTTGATATCGTCCCTGATATCAACCATATGGTCAAAGTAGGGTTCTCGCTTGATACGGACGCCTAGTATGTATGGGTAGTAACAGTTCTTGTCAAGGCCGTAATCCTGAAACGAAACAGATAAGATGGTTATTTTTTTTTTATTTCATTTTTTATTTTCATCATCATCAGCCTATAATTGCCCACTGCTGAAGGCCTCTTCTGCCGCGGTTTTTTTTGTTTTTTTATTTAATAGGTCGGCAAACGAGCAGACGGATTACCTGATGGTAAGCATTCAGCGCCGCCCATGGACACTCGCAACGGAGGATTTACGAGTGCGTTGCCGACCTTTTGGAGATTTAGGGATTGAGGAGGGATTGGGGGCGGGGAAGGATTAGGACTACGGTAACCTCACTCACACGGCGAAACACAACGCTGTGGATTTCACGCCGGTCTTCTGTGAGGCCGTGGTATCACTCCGGTCGAGCCGACCCATTCGTGCCGAAGCATGGCTCTCCCACACTTATAACTTTGTCTGCTTTTCCTTCACGCCTAAACTACTGAACCTATTTGTGAGAAATTTGGTACAGACATAGTTTGGAACTCAAGAAAGGACATAGGATAGTTTTTAAACCAAAAATCTACAGGAAGTCACTGTTCCACGCGAACAAAGTCGCGGGAAAAGAAAAGCTAGTTTTTTATATAATCATTTCGACATTTAAAAATGCCGTTTTATGGCCATTTGCAAAAATAAATTCATTGTTTCAATATCCATCACTCATGCTCAAGGCAGATTGGCTATTTCATTCAAAAAAATGTGTATTCATTTTGACGTCTAAAAGGCAAAATCATTAAGTATGGGAGTGCCATGGTTCGACTCGACCAGAGTGATTCTACGTACTCACAGAAAACCGGCGTGAATCAACTACAGCTTAATGTTTCGCCATGTGCGTGAGGCTATGGGAGGCCCAATCCTTCCTCTTCCCTCTTTCTCCAATCCCTGAATCCCCAAAACCCCATGTCTCCATAACCATTTGTAACCACACTGGTGTTGCGAATGTCCATGGGTGACGCAGATTGCTTACCATCAGGCAAATCGTATCCTTGTTTGCAAAAAATTGCGCGGTGGCTGGCAACGTGTCGCGGTTTCAATTCCCGAAGTGAAGTCGAAGTGTGATATGTATATGAAATTGTATGTTTATAAACGCACCTACGATTTTTTTTTTTTACTTGCTATAAACTAGTGCTTGACTGCGATCCTACCTGATGGTAAGCAGTGAAGCAGTCGTTGTTGGTAAGGCGCACTAGTTTATTAACACATTCAGTGCCCCCGACGCGTATGTGCGTTTCCTCGCACGCACATACGCGTCGGGGGCACTGAATGTGTTAAGAGCCTATTCACTCTAGCCTTGAAGACACCTAAATTGTATTCGGACGGAAAGACTGCAGCCGGCAAACTGTTCCAATCCCATACATATATAGATACAGGAGCAAAAACCGTAATGTGGGACAACGTTTTTATACAAAAAATATCTCCTGTGTCGAAGTACGTGTCGTGGTGGCCCGAAGGTTAAGGAGCCCGCTTCTCATGCATGACGGTGTGGGCTCGAAACCTGGCAAGTACCAAAGTGACTTTTTCCGAGTTATATGTACTTTCTATGATTATTTAGACACCACTGACATACGGTGAAGGTAAAAATCGTGAGGAAACCTGGACTTATAATTCCTAATTATAAGTTTGAAATCGCCAACGCGCATTGAGCAAGCGTGGTTATAAATGCTCAAACCTTCTCCGTATGAGAAGAGGCCTTTGCTCAGCAGTGGGCATTTATAGGCTGATGATGATGATGATGATGATGTATCGAGGTATACTTACATAACGAACGTTGGACACATCGTAATGCTCCTGTTTCACGTTCTTCAGTAAAGGATCACAGCGAGACACGCGAACTTGAAGCGGCTTCAACGTCTTCAATAATTCCGGATCCACGTTTATTTCACCTGAGAAAAAATATTTAATTTATTAATCCAACTTTTTTTTATTTAATAGGTATATGAGCAGCCGGATTACCTGATGGCAAGCAATCAGCGCCGGCCATGGACACCCGCAACATAGGAGTTACGAGTGCGTTGCTAACCTTTTAGAGATTAGGGATTTGGAGATTGAGGAGGGATTGGGGGAGGGGAAGGATTGGGCCTCCTGTAACCTCACTCACACGACGAAACGCAACGCTGTGGTTGTTTCACGTCGGTTTTCTGTGAGGCCGTGGTATCACTTCGGTCGAGCCGACCCATTCGTGCCGAAGCTTGGCTCTCCCACACTTCGAAACAATCTTTCCAAATTGGAAATATATTACCTTTTCTTCTTCTTCTTCTTTTAAAGTGTGTGAGAGCCATGCTTCCGCACGAATGGGTCGGTTCGACCGAAGTGATACCACGGCCTCACAGAAAACCGGCGTGAAACAACCACAGCGTTGCGTTTCACCGTGTGAGTGAGGTTGTCGGAAGCCCAATCCTACCCCGATCTCAAAATCTTAAAATCCCTAGTAATTGCTTAAAAGATTTAGACTAACCTTTCTTCTTCGCCGTACAATTCGGTTCATGTTTCTTCAAGTTTCTCAGCAACGCGTAATTTCTATTGCATTTCGGACATTTACCTGTAAGATAAATAAAAATAATTTTAAATGAGTTTTGAGAGTACCCAGTACAATTTGAAGTCACTATACATTGCATAGCCTTTGTTTCTCAAAGTCAAAGTCAAAGGTCAAAAAACATTTGAACTTTTGAAACGTCAAAATAGAATAGTAGTCTGTCAGTCTGTTCGTCAGTGAAGCTAGGTGCTCGTTCCAAATTGTAGATTCGAATGGAGAAGAACGAGCAAGAAACTCTATAGCTACTCTTTTAAAAAAAATATGTATCTTTTAAACTAATTCAACAGTACAGTATTTTTTTTATTCATTTCGGTTCGATTCCTGCACGGTACAATAGTCTTTGTGTGATTCACAAATTGTTGTTCCGGGTCTGGGTGTGATGTGTATGTGAATTTGTGTGCTTGTAAACGAACCCACTATACAAGAGAAAACAAATGAGGGGCAACGTTTTTTTTTATAATCTATACTAATATTATTAAGAGTTAAAATTTGTGACTTTGTAAGTTTGTTTGTAGGGGGTAATCTTTGCAATCGCGTATCGGATTGCCAAAATTCTTTCACTGATAGATAGCTACAATGTCCCTGAGCGCTATAGGCTATAAAACATCACGCTACGATCAACTGGAGCCGAGCAGCGGGCGAAAGCTAGTTTATAAAGATCATGTGTCAGTCTGTCAGTCAGTCCTCTAGTGAAGCTATTTGCTCGTTCCAAAGTGTACATTCCTATGGAGAAGAACGAGAAAGAAACTCCATGGTTAGGGTGGACTTACCGCCCGGTCTGTTTTCCTCTCCAAGACAGCGATGATCTCTTAACAGCTTATTTGTAGCGAACATATGCCAGCAAACCTCACACTTAACGTCCGGCATCTCAGGAAACGGAATGCATTGATTGTTGCTGAAGTGCCTGTAATATGAATATCAAAGTCAAAGTCAAAATCATCATTATCATCTTCAGCCTGACTAGACTCCGTCCACTGCATAGCCTTATCCAACTAATTAAAATTTATAAAAAGCCCCCGACAAAAAACTAATATTCCTTTAAAAATTAATAATGTAACGCGAGAACCAGCGGTAGGTAGGTTTCCGCTCCCGCGCTTCGGCACTCGGTCGTCCGAACGTACGACATCACGCGCATGCGCGAGTCGCCGCGTCGCCCTCCAATCAGCGCGGCCGTCCGCCGCGCGAACATTCCGGAACCGTTCCGAAGCATACCGCGCACGCGCGAGACTCGGCGTCGTCAAGACGCGCGCAAGCCAAGCTCTCTCTCCTGCCGGCGACCACCGCCGCACGCGTCACGTCACGAATCCCTTCTATGACTCTTCCCGCGTATAGTTAACACGTTAAACGCCATGGGGGTCACCGGTGACCTCCGTTAGCGGAGGATTGACCTTCAACAGTTTTCTGTCGGCAGTCAAAGGCTTAATAGTTCCGTGTTCTAACTTAGTGTTTAGTGTGTAACCTAATCCTTTTGTACCTAATCTTGTGACTATTGTATCGTAAAACTGTGAATAAACAAATATACTTATATCAAGTATTACAATAATTAAAAGAAACGTGGCGTTGGGGGACCGATCCAAACATTTTATTATCAACTACATATTTCTATTTTGTCGGGGGTCTAATTTATTTTTTTATTTTATACTTTTTATAGGTATTTTATATCATTTTCTCTCGATTAAGTCATCAACATTCCCTTTCAGTGCGCTTTCATTTGAGACCCCACTCAAGTATATTTGCGGACCTTCGGTTACCCTTCCCCACTTACCCCCCCCCCCCTCCCCATCCATTCGTACCGAAGCTTTGCTCTGTACCGTTTTTGACCAAACAATAAAAGTATTGAGTTTGACTAATCGTCATTATACAGTACGGCCGCCGTATCTTGGCGAGTCTGAAGTTAGCCGTTTGTCTGCGCAATGGATCTTTTAGGAACAAAATTGTGTACTGCGCAGCTAATCGGCTAACTTCAGACTCGCCAAGATACGTCGGCGGTATTGTACTTACTCGTCGTAAGTGGCAAGCTGCCTAAAGTTGGCGGTGCATCGGATGCATGTATAGGGAATGCATTTGGTTTTATGACGCCGATGATGCGCCGCCGCGTCTTCCGGCGAACGGAACCACTCGCCGCATGGGTTGCACGCTAATCTGTAAATATGAAAAGTAAAATTTTAATTTTCCTGTTTTTGGAAGTAAGGGGGGGGGGGGGGGATTACGAGAAAAAGACTTCTCTAGCCTAGAGTAAAGTTCGAGAGATGATCTGGCCTCGTAGTGCGCGAGTCTGCAGACGGTCCGCCTGACCAGAACCAGGCCCGAGCGTACGGCGCGTAGCGTTCCGCGCGCGCCTCAAAGAGCCAATAGACCACCACAGACGGGGACCTATAGGGCTGATGTTCAGCCGAGGTTGCGGGGTAAGCGCAATGAGGCACCGCGACCTCGGCCCAGAGCCTAAGAAAGAAATGGTTGGTTTTTAGTCAGTAAGAGTCTGACACTTTACTCTAGGCTTTTTTTTTAAGGGAAATTCATCAAATGACTTCTCCCACCCAGGGTAGGGGGGAAGAGAGTGTCAGACTCTTACTGACTAAAACTCCCCCGTTCCTTCTCCTGTTCTGGGCCGAGGTCGCAGTGCCTCATTGCGCTTACCCCGCAACCCCGGCTGAACATCAGCACTATAGAGCCCCGTCTGTGGTGGTCTATTGATTCTATCGAACGTCATGGTGGACCAGACGTTAAGGCTTCTCATGCATGAGGGTTTGATCGAATACTGGCAAGTATCAATGTGACTTTTTCCGAGTTATATGTACTTTCTATGATATTTAGACACCACTGACATACGGTGAAGGTAAACATCGTGAAGAAACCTGAACTTATAATTACTAATAATAAGTTTGAAATCGCCAACCTGCATTGAGCAAGCGTGGTGATTAATGCTCAAACCTTCTCCGTGTCAAAAGAAGTCTATGCTCAGCAGTAGGCACTTATAGGCTGATGATGTTGGGGATAGACTGGCAAACGAGCATACGGAATAACTGATGGTAAGCGACCAGCGCCGTCCATGGACACCCGCAACAACAGAGGAGTTACGAGTGCGTTGCCGACCTTTTGGGGATTAGGGATATGGAGATTAAGGGATTGAAGAGGGATAACTCCCGTAACTACATTCACGCGGCGAAGCACAGTGGTAAGGCCGTAGTATCACTCCGGTCGAGCCGACCCATTCGTGCCGAAGCATGGCTCTCCAACACATATACACTTATCTATAGCTATGTGGGTCGCGGAACACCTGTTCATCCGTTATGTTGGTTCGCGGATACGATTGTAAAGAAGGGTAGGTAGATGTGTTTATGTACTTTTGATCATTAGATATATAGATAGATAGTTAAAGGTTTTATTAACAAAAAAAGGGGAAAGAATAAAAAGATATACATATCTATACTATCTATACTAATATTATGAAGAGGTAAAATTTGTAAGTTTGTATGTAGGGGGTAATCTTTGGAACCGCTGGTCGGATTGCCAAAACTCCATCACTGATAGATAGCTACAATATTCCTGAGTGCTATAGGCTATAAAACATTACGCTACGATCTGTAGGAGCCGAGCAGCGGGTGAAACCTCGCGAGATTAGCTAGTACAGTGATCCAAACTAATATTATAAATGCGAAAGTAACTCTGTCTGTCTGTCTGTCTATCTGTCTGTCTTTCCTTCACGCCTAAACTACTGAACCGATTTCTGTGAAATGTGGTACAAACATAGTTTGGAACTTGAGAAAGGACATAGGATAGATTTTTATACAAAAGCTAGTATACATATATTATACTCACTTGGGATTGGTGAATCCGACGGTATGGGATCTCTGGTGATTGCTATTCGCTTGTGGAGATTTACTGTTTTGCCCACAGACGGTGCACTTGTACAATCTGGGAGGCGATACCGACCGTTTCGGTACCGTTTTGCTGCTAGACTTGGCCGATTTCGGCAACTTTGGTGATGATTTCGGTATAATCTTGGGAGGAGACGCCGGTTTTATGGCGATTCTGAAAGGTAATTAGCAGTTCGATTAGTGATTTTTGATGAAAGCTGAATAAATTCACTATGTACTGAATAAACTTGAATATAAAACATATTTTTTACGACCTTCACATAACTTTGTTAGGTACTTAGTGCTGATTTTTCAATAGTCAGATAAATGTTATCTGAGGAATAAAATTGTTGCTGTCACTGTCTTATACAAACATTGTGACGCGACAGCATCATAATTATTCCACAGACAACTTTTATCTAACCATTGAAAAATCATCACTTAGTTTTTTTTTTTCTTTTAAAAAAACGTTGCCCCAAACTGGGATTTTTTCTTGTGTCGTGGGTGCGGTTACAAACATACAATTTCACGTGCACATCACACCCAGACCCGGAACAACAATTTGTGAATCACACAAAGAGTTGTTCCGTGCGGGAATCGAACCCGTGACACGTTGCACGGCAGCCAGTTGCCCAGCCAAACGAGCAGTCAGTTAGTTAATTTAAGAAGCCTAAGAAATATACTAGAATTATTTGTTTTGTTACATTATTAGAGAAATTTGCTTTTGTAATGCGAAAGACAGCATCTCCAAACTACTACTACCTAACTACCGACTACTTTTCTTACTTATGCTATATCTATACTCCGATTATATCTATCTAATCTTTGATTTTCATACTTACGTACTTAATATTAACCTGCTAATACTACTTATATAACTTAACATATACAATACTAATATATTACCTATACTACACACATATACATATATAATACTAATATATACTAATATATTAATTTTATTATTATTGTAAACTTAACTTAATAGAACCTATAGTAAGTCAATAGTTTTGAAATCTGATCCAACAGACATTTTATACTTTTTATAATGTAAAATGTACCTTCTATGCAATAATAAATAAATAAATAAGTATTCAACAAATTAGAAGACGCGCAACATTTGCTAATGGAGTATGCTAAGAATAAAAGCGAAAGCGATTCATTGGTTAGGATTAACTATGACTTATAAAAGGTAACCTATGAAATTGCCGTTCTGCAGTACTGGCCATTTCAAATCAAAATAGTTTTTGTTAGGTCAAAGTCAAAGTCAAAGTCAAAATCATTTATTCCAATTAAACCATCAATAGGTACTTTTGAAACGTCAAAATAGAAAAGTAGTCTGTCAGTCTGTTCGTCAGTGAAGCTAGGTGCTCGTTCCAAATTGTAGATTCGAATGGATAGATAGGCTAAGGCTAATTAATATGTCGTGGTGGCCTGGAGGTTAAGGAGCCCGCTTCTCATGCATGAGAGTGTGGGTTCGAAACCTGGCAAGTACCAATGTGACTTTTTCCGAGTTATATGTACTTTCTATGATTATTTAGACACCATTGACATACGGTGAAGGTAAACATCGTGAGGAAACCTGAACTTATAATTTCTAATTGTAAGTTTAAAATCGCCAACCCGCATTGAGCAAGCGTGGTGATTAATGCTCAAACCTTCTCCGTGTGAGAAGAGGCCTTTGCTCAGCAGTGGGCACTTATAGGCTGATGATGAAGGCTAATTAATTTTGTTTTAAAAACATGGGATTCTTTTTTCAAAAGTAGTCATTTGTTTATTGATTAGTGTTACATTTTCATCGCATTTCAAATCAAAAAATTCGTTTAAGTTTTTTCATGCAAAACGGCAATTTCATAGGTAAAGACCTATTATTATAATATTTTAGATCTTGGGCTCTTTTATACTATTTCAGCGAATCCTAAATCAAAAGTTGCAAAAATATTGTGTGGTCTACCACAACAGATTACTTTATCAATAAATAGCAAATTGAATTTGTAACTAGTGTTAAAATAAGGTTAAAAATACGGTAGTTTCCAACTAGTCAAATTCAATACTTTTATCCAAACGTCAAAAACGATACTTTTCTATGAAATTTGTATGAAACACTGAGTTATGATGTCATAACATAGCTTACTTATTTCTTAATAATTAGCTAAAAAATTTGAAACTTTGTGTTTTGATCGATGAATAAAAGTATAGTTATTTTTCAATATTTTATTGTATTGAAACGTCGAATTATTTTATTTTTTACGTAGCAAACTATACAATGTAATTTTATCTGTGTACTAGTAGTGGTAAGTTACAATAGGCTTTGACGTTCAAAAGTGCCTGTAAAGGTCTAATTGGAATAAATGATTTTTGACTTGACGTATCCGTGTGGATGAAAAGCCCTTATATTGGGGTAGTTTCCAAAAATAAATTAATTTGACGTTTCAATGCAATCAAATATTGATAAATAACTATACTTTAATTAATCGATCGATTGATACACTAAATTTTAGACATTTTTCAGCAAATTTTTAAAAAATAAGTAAGCTATTTGGTTTTAAACTCTATGACGTCATAACTCAGTATTTCATACAAATTACATAGAAAAGTATCGTATTCGACATTTGGATAAAAGTATTGAATTTGACTAGTTGGAAACTACCGTATTCAAGGAAATAAAAAAATATATACTAGAAATATACATACTTGACTTTTTTCACTGGCGTTTCCAATTTCACCGGTTCCCTGTCCCTGGACCTCTTCAGACGAGGAGTCAATAGCGAGTCCTCCTCCTAAAAACAATATTAAACCTGTTATTATTTATTATCTTTTGCTGTAAGCACTGCTATCACTCTCTTGTAAGGGGTTGACGTTTGGCTAATATCTCGCCTGGTGTTAAGCAATGATTAGTGTGGGAAAGTCATGCTTCGGCACGAATGGGTCGGCTCGACCGGAGTGATACTCACAGAAAACCGGCGTGAATCAACCACAGCGTTGTGTTTCGCCTTGTGAGTGAGGTTACTAGGGGCCGAATTCTTACTTCTCCCAATCCCTACTCCGAAATCCTTATCCCCAAAAGGCTGACTACGTACTCTTAAGGGTTGGGTCTCATCTGGCAGCACGGAGTCGCCTTTTTCGTCGCTCTTTCTTTTTCTGTCACTTATAACTGTCATTTATTTTTGTTTTTTTTAAACAAAATCAAATCAAATCAAATTAAATCAAATTCTTTATTTCAAATAGACCAAAAAAGGCACTTTTGAACGTCAAGCAAAAAAGATATCATAAGGTTTAACTTTATGTGTCAGTCTGTCCGTCTGTCCTCTAGTGAAGCTATTTGCTCGTTCCAAAGTGTAGATTCCTATGGAGAAGAACGAGCAAGAAACTCCATGGTTACTCTTTTTCAATCACTTTTTACAATGCATTGTTACATAATTTAGATAGTTCCATTATGTGAGAACAGTGTAACACTAGTGTTTAACCAAAGTATCCGAAAAAGAAATAACCCTCTGGGACAGCAACTTTAGACAGTCTCGAGTTGACCAGTCCCAATAGGCGGCGTCCGTTCACGAACATGACACGTACACCAGCACCGCCCAACTCAACCATATTATAGGGAACCGAGCGGTCCAGTGCCCGTGCCACCGCCAATGAGACTCCTGAGTGAGCATGACAACTCCCAACTGACACAAGTACCAATATACTATAAGTCTATAAGTCTAACTCAATTATAATAAGTTACAGGGCTCTCACATTTACAAAAATCCAGTTTATCAACAATTAACAACATGGTGAATAATTTAATAATTGAGATCAAAATTCCTCTTAACCTTAACAATTTTTATCCTGTCAGTCAAACCAGCCACCCTCCAAGCATTTTTATCTTCTATATAATCATTTAGTTTGTAGTATGCTTTCCTACATAATACTTTCTTTATACATAATTTAAATTTACTTTCATTAAGATTTTGTATTTCAGTTGGGATTTTATTATAACATTTAACACATAATCCCATGAACGACTTATGCACTTTTGCTAATCTAAATAAAGGCTGACTTAATCTATTTCTATGTCTAGTAAGATAGTCATGCTTGTCAGATACTTTTACAAATAGCTGTAGGTTTTTCCTAACATACATAATGTTTTCATAAATATATTGACATGGTACGGTCATAATGTTGATATCCTTAAACTTTTCTCTGAGAGATTCGCGACGACCTAAGTTATAGATAGCTCTGACTGCACGCTTTTGTAAGATAAAGATAGACTCAACGTCGGATGCCTGTCCCCACAACAGAATTCCATACGACATGATGCTGTGAAAGTAGCAAACGTTGCCCCACACTAGGATTTTCTCCTGTGTCGTGGGTGCGTTTACAAACATACAATGTCACATACAGATTACACCTAGACCCGGAACAACAATTTATGGATCACACAAAGAGTTGTTCCGTGCGGGAATCGAACCCGCGACACGTTACACGGCAGCCAGTTTCCCAGCCACCGCACCAACGGTGCAGTCACATTTGCTAGACTGAGACAGAAAGCATAATGCGATAGCACGCGGCGGAATCCTCGAGGCGATCGGCATCACGGACAAAATGTAATAGTCGGCAGGGAGACTCCGGAACGCAAAAGCGTGCGATAGCATGCTAACGCATCTTTTCACGTTTTTGTGCGATCGCCTTTTTGTCTGCGGAATGCGATAGCGCGCGATCGCATTCCGCAGCACGTGGTACTACAGGGGGAACAAATGCGATTCCGTGCTGGCAAATGAGGTCCAACCCTAACTCCTCTGGTCTTGCGGTTCTGGTCAATGGTTGGTTACAATTGCTTATCATCAGGTAATCCGTCTGCTCGTTTGTCGACCTACCACTTAAAAAAAATATGATTTAACGAAAATATAATAATAAAATGATGTTTTTTAATATTATGTGTTAGATATTACCTGAGATTCTCTCTTTAGAATAGATTTAGGCGTCACTTTTGGAGATTTCGTTTTCGTGTCCTGAAACAAATAATACAAAATACACTCTATTTACTTTAATAAGCTGTACATCTATACTAAAGAGTATGTATGTTTGTATGTAGGAGGTAATCTTTGGAACCGCTGGTCGGATTGCCAAAATTCTTTCACTGATTGATAGCTACAATGTTCCTGAGTGCTGTAGGCTATAAAACATCACACTACCATCAAATAGAGCCGAGCAGCGGGAGAAGCCGCGTGAGAGTAGCTAGTTTTAGATATTTTTTAGCCAAGTTTTAAGAAATCAGTCAATTTAACGCAAAAATATTATGACGTCATAACAATATTTTGCCCGTTGTTCCAAACATGTTAAAATAACTCTTTTCAGAGGATATTGTCAATCATTTTACACGTGCAGTCTGTGGGTCAGATACACGCAAAGGGCACACAACGCCCTGCGTATTCAGTACAATAACGCATTTAGGATGCTTGTGGGCCTGCCGCGTTTTTGTAGTGCCTCAAGGATGTTTGCCGAGGCTAGGGTCGATGGCTTTCATGCGATTATCCGCAAGCGATGCTCTTCAATTCTGGGGAGAGTACGCGACAGCTCGGACAGCGTCCTGAATGCTTTGTGCGATAAATGGGACAGCCCTATGCTAGCCCATTGGATACGTATGCATAGTAATAATTGAAGTTATTTTTACTAACACTAGGTTTAGTATTCTTTTACTAACATCTTCATCATCATCATCATCATCAGCCTATAAATGCCCACTGCTGAGCAAAGGCCTCTTCTCATACTGAGAAGGTTAGAGCATTAATCACCACGCTTGCTCAATCCGGGTGTGCGATTTCAAACTTATAATTAGAAATTATAAGTCCAGGTTTCCTCACGATGTTTACCTTCACCGTATGTCAGTGGCGTCTAAATAATCATAGAAAGTACATATAACTCGGAAAAAGTCACATTGGAACTTGCCAGGTTTCGAACCCACACCCTCATGCATGAGAAGCGGGCTGTTTAACCTCCGGGCCACAACGACATACTTACATACATACATACATACATACGTACATACTAACATCTTATGGATCTTGTATTTTGGTCTGAAATAAATGTTTTATTATTATAACTCAGTGGCAGTAACAAATTTCCATAGAAACGTAGTATATTTGACTGGTTGGAAACTACCGTATTGTCGTGGGATTAGAGCCACTTTATGTGGAAGTGTATTGAAAATGATATTTACCTTGCCTCGATTTAAGGATCCGCTGTCTTCCTTGGAGTTCTGGCGCTGTCTTGTGACTCGGGGCGGTGTGGGAGAGCGTCGAGTGTAACGGGCTTTGCGGTCTGTTAATGGATGCTGCTCCAGCTGAGAGGAAGAAAATACAACTGTATTAAAAAAATGTAGGTGTGTTCCTAACGTCAAAAAGTAAATTTGCACTTTCTTACCGCTCTACAAAGTTCAAATTCAATCATAGTGGTTTATTTAATTATTTTTAATTCACAGGGGGGTGAAATAAAAATAGGGTGACGGTTCCGTACAGGATATTTTTTTGCAAAGAATATATAGGTAGGAACAAATCACTGCCACACTACAATTTTGTTTGACAGGACGAAGTCTGTCGGGTTAGCTAGTGTAGGTAGGTATATTTTTTTTTAAATAACGTCTACACTTGAATTATCGGATAAAAGCTGTACTAGTTTCAAGACAGCTGCACGATACCCACGTTACTTATGAAAAGGAGCCCCACTGTGACTTAAAACTAGTTGAGCTGCTCTCAGTTAATTAAATTGCTATAAATGAATCATAAAATTGCTTCTACCTCAAGGAGTGTCAGACTCATACTGACTAAAACCCCTCGTTCTTTCTCCTGTTTCAGACCTCGGCCGCGCTGCTTCATTGAGCCTACCCTGCAACCCCGGCCGTGACCTCGGCCCAGAGTAGGAGACGGAACGGGGGGGTTTAGTCCGTAAGACCCTGACACTCCGGAAGTCATTTGATGATTCCCCCCACAAAAAAAAGACCCACGACACCGAAGAAAATCCTCGTGTTTTCTGGGCTTAATTCAACATTACGAAAGCACAGACAAACCTTGACTTTTAGCTCGGGTTCCCGTTTGCCTTTCACTTTGGGCTGTTTCTTCTGTTTGGACAACGGCTCTCCATCTGAATCATCATTGACGTAGACCGGCTCCGTCAGACCCAGGATACATTCACCAGCATCCGGCTGTAAGTGGAATGGACAAAGATTAATAACCTATTTAAGTGAGAGCCATACTTCGGCACGAATGGGTCGGCTCGACCGGAGTGATACCACCGGCCGCACAGAAAACTGACGTGAAATAATTACAGCGTTACAGCTTCCCTTCCCCTATCCCTTCCCGATCCTTATATCCGAAACCCTTATCCCCAAAAGGCCGGCAACGCACTCGTTACTCCTTTGTTGTTGCGGGTGTCCATGGGCGGCGCTGATTGCTTACCATCAGGTAATCCGTCTGCTTGTTTGTAAAATAAGGCAAATACCAGTTTTGATAGGACTATCAAAACATTAAATGTGACGAAAACAATGAATTAGGACATTCCTTAAGCTCCACAAATGTATTTAACAAAAAAAAAGGTTAGTAAATAATATTTAATATATAAAAATGAAACGTAAAATCGGTCAATAATTCATAGATTTCCTCTCTACTATATCTCTCTCTACTCTGAAGTAGAGAGGGAATCTATGAATTATTGACCCTTATGTTGTTGGGGATGTAGTTGACCCTTGCAAAGTAGGGAGGGACCGCTAGTCTATACTAATATCATAAAGCTGAAGTTTGTTTCGACGCGCTAATCTCCGGAACTGCTGGTTCTAATTGAATAGTTATTTTTGTGTTTGTTAGTGATTATCATGATGATGTAAGCTATGATCTTTAAGAGCTGAGCAGCAGGTGAAACTGCGTGAGAGTAGCTAGTAGAATGTAAAATGCAATGAAAACAGTGAATATAAGACATTCCGTAAACACCACATTTTTTTTTACAAAAACGTTGTTGTTTAGTTATGTTGTTTAGTTCGTTTATTAGTACGACATTTTATATATATTTTGTATACTTACAGCGCCTCTAGGCATAGACTGCGGTGGTAGACCGAGCCTCAACCTCGTCCGTTTGTTAGTCTGCCGACACATCTCCAGAAACTCGTAGAAGTCATTCACCTTATCAACGCACAACTCACAAATTAGGGGAGGCATCTTATCATCTTGGTGGACCTGTGAACAAGAATTGTTACAAATTAGAAAAACCATAGAGTTACTTGGTTGTTTATTTGTGCACTTTGGAATGAGTAAATAGCTTAACTAGAGGACTGACACTTTTAATATACTTATTATTACATTGTTTGATATTCAAGTGGTTTTTTAAAATTATGACACAGGAGAAAATCCTAACGTGTCATCTTTATCTATAGATATCTTTACAACTACAAGTGTCACGGGAAAGTTTAAAAACATACAAATAAACATACACAAACCACCCAGAAAAGAAACCACAACTTGAGGATCAAAGTCTTTGGAAAGAGAGACAGTTCCTTCAATCAGAACTAATTTTTTTAGATAAAATCACAAATGTATTGTCTTTTCAGCCTTGGAACATTTATTGATGTTGCAGGAGGTGTACGCATGAATTGAAACTATAATTGAGTATGTCTTAGTTTAATATGACTTCTTTATAATAGTTTTTTTTAGTTTGAAAATAGGTTAGGTGAACCTACTTAAATACAGTTAACACTAAAATTTGCAACGAAATCGATGGATAATCCCAAATGTGTTAGTATTAACTTCTTTCGCGTGATAGTTCTGGCATATTTTAACAATATCACAGCCTAAAAATAGAGTTTAATTCAATATTTTTTTAATACTTTCTCTTATTTGTTTGACAACAAACAAAAAAATTGTTGCACTCGATTTTTAAGCACGAATTTAAGTGAAAAAGTATAAATATTGTCTTACATGGCAAGTAACGAGTTTGAATTGATACTTAATATCGTAAAATAGTAATATTTACCTCAATTTGCACACATTCTCGGACTTTTTGCCGAAGCTCAACTTCGCTGTCACCCAGATCAATTACATTTTGTATTATAGGCATTTTGTAGCCTGCACCGGCTCCACACAAACGACATGCTCTATATATCTCGTAAATAGTCTGTTTATCTTTTGTGGAATTCAATTGGCGATCCATTTTCGACATGGTTGCATTTCAAAGGAAATCACCAGCTACGACGACGATTGCCGCTTTTCCGCCATTAGAAATGATACCACAGTGAAAATATGTCATTGGAGAAAAATCAATGTGAAAAATAAACTCATTGCATTTTTTGACAAAGTCGACTAATACGATTTATTTAAATAAGACTTATTTCTAAATGTTAACGAGACCAAACAAATTAATATAAGGTAATAAATAATATCTTTCTTCATTCCGATAGTTTCAACAAGAATTATTTTATCGAATAAAGACTATTGCTTAAAAACATAATTAGTTAAGATCAGCTTGTTCTTTAAAATTGTATGCAATTACGAGGATGTAGATTCAAATCCAAATGATTGCCCACCATGTTTATTTATTAGTGTCAACCAAATAACAATATAATTTAATTTAAAAAAATAAACAATTCACACATCACATCCCTAGGTAAAATTGTCTTTGCGTTACTATTGTCTATTTATTCTGTACCTCTACTATTGTCTTTGGTCGCCTCCTTACCTACTAAGTTACTAACATTCTATTCTCTGTGGTGTTGTCAATGTGCGAGACGATTTGCATGGTGTTTATCCTTTGAATTTTGCAAAAAAGTGTTAATTAAAGTGTGTTTTTGTGATAATACGCCTAGGAAGTGTCGGCGCGAGCCGAATATAAGTTCATAAGTGCATTGTTACATGTAAGTATTCATTAATTCACGCTAAAACTCCGTCTGTTTGTATAAACCTGTCAATTTGAACGTGTAACCGCTTTTATGAGACACGCATTTTTTCTTGGCATGATTACAACATTATCTTTAGTTATTAATGAATATACGCGTAATAGCACCAATATATTAAGCTTAAAACCTTCCCTGTAACCTTATTTATTTTTATAACCATACTCGTAGGAATTTAAGCTGCATTTTTCGCAAATTTACTAGAAAACTCCAATGACCTCCCCAAAGTTTTATTTAGTCGTGTTATATGTCAAAATTTATTTAGATGTCGAAATTCTTGTTATACATTTTACTATTAGTTAACAAAATTGTAAAAACATACGTAAACATTGTGAAAATCAACGAGAAGTATATTCAAATCCGAAGTTTCGAATAATTTTTAAAATTTCTTTTAACCTTTGTAAGTTTGATTCTTTTGTAATAGGTTATATGTAGATTTTAAAATTCTAATGGCCTTGTGTTCTACTTTAGTAGCTTTAGTTTGATATTATCTTTATACTAATAAAAACAGGGATTAGGTCCTTCAAGATGACATGAAGACCTCAAACGTCCCGGTCGCGCGATCATAATGTATTCGGGCCGGGCGCCCTGCCCATCCCGGCCTAAAACGTTTTATAGAATTGAGTACTGAAGCAATCCAAACTAATATTATTAATGCAAAAGTAACCCTTTCTGTCTGTCTTTTCTTCACGCCTAAACTACTGAACCTATTTGTGTGAAATTTGGTACAGACATAGTTTGGAACTTGAGAAGTGACATAAAATAGTTTTTAAACTAAAAATCTGCACCCATCTTTCACCCACTGCTCGGCTCCTATAGATCATAGCGTGATGTTTCATAGCCTATAGCCTCCCTCGATAAATGAAATAACAAATGAGTCAAACCAGTAGTTCTGGAGATTAGTGCGTTCAAACAAACAATCTCTCCAGCTTTATAATCTATACTAATATTATAAAGAGGTAAAATTTGTAAGTTTGTATGTAGGGGGTAATCTTTGGAACCGCTGGTAGGATTGCCAAAATTCTTTCTCTTATTGATAGCTACAATATTCCCGAGTGCTATAGGCTATAAAACATCACGCTACAATTAAATGTAGCCAAGCAGTGAGTAAAACCGCGGGGGAGTAACTAGTATTAGGATAGATTTACAAATTATGTCACTTGTGACATAATATCTATCTTCTATCTTCTTTATATATAAAAATGGATCACAAAATGTGTTGATAAGCGCATAACTCAACAACGCCTGGACCAATTTTATTAATTCTTTTTTTGTTATGTTTGCTATTGTCAGGAGAAGGTTCTTATTAAAGAAAATATTAGAAAAGTAGAGGGGAAGATTGGGAAAAAGTGACCCTTTGATAGCAAGATAGTTTAACCCATGCGAAGCGGGAGCAGGCCACTAGTATACATTAATAACCTTGTGAATTTACCCAAAGAACACAGAAACACATTGATCTGTGTCTGGAGATGATTTATGATATGGATAGCTCCGGTGTTAGGGATGGCGTGATGGGGCGATGGCCCAGGGCGATACATTCTGGGGGCGCCAAGGTCTGAAGATGGAGTCTCTTGCCTCTCCTGGTGCAAACCCTCTACGTTCTACGCTCTGTGCATATGCAGATTTTGTTAATGAGATTATTTTTTGAGGTTTTGTGGTCGAGGAGTGACTCTAAAGATATCAATACGATCAGCAAAAAATTAAAACCTTGATATTGCTTCCCTCAAGTAAGCGTCACAATATTTTCGCCCGGGGTGTCAGTTAACCCTTACGCCGTCACTGGATAGCTCTGGTAAGAGGTGACCTGGCCATCAAGTCGGTTCTGGCTGTAGGTACCTGTGGTAGTGGCTGAATGCGCCGCCTTCACACGTAACGGTCCGGCAAACACAGACTCAAGCCCTGCAATAATACCAGGTTAGCCTTCATTCCACTAAGCAACTTCACCAAGTAGTCAACCAACGTCCCATCGGACATGTTTTTTTTTTTATTGTATGGTCAGCAAACGAGCAAACGGATTACCTGATGGTAAGCAATCAGCGCCGCCCATAGCCACCCGAGGAGTTACAAGTGAGTTGCCGGCCTTTAAGGGATAAAGGTTTCGGCTTTTTAAGGATTGGGAAGGGATGGGGGCAGGGGGAAGGATTGGGCCTCCGATAACCTCACTCACACGGCGAAACACAGCGCTGTGGTTGTTTTACGCCGGTTTTCTGTGAGGCCGTGATATCACTCCGGTCGAGCCGACTCATTCGTGCCGAAGCATGGCTCTCACATAGTTAAACTTTACTTACGTGGTATTTTATTGTAACAATTTACCTAATGACCATATAAAGGATTTCTGTACTTTGGATAGACGGAATCGTGGCACAGCTAGCCTATCTTTGCCTGTAGTTTTAAAAATGTTGTCTATGTTACATAGATCCTTTCAAATCGCACAGTGCTTAAAACCGAAACTAATATTATAAATGCGAAAGTAACTCTGTCTGTCTTTTCGTAACGCCTAAACTACTGAACCTATTTGTGTGAAATTTAGTACAGACATAGTTTGGAACTCGAGATAGGACATAAAATAGTTTTTAAACAAAAAAAAAACTGCAGTAAGTCACTATTCCACGCGAACAAAGTCATGGGCAATAGCTAGTCATTTATAAATTCGCGTCATAATATAGTTGGAGGTCATTGACCTTTATTCTGCACTTTATTATGATCTTTATTCTGTGAGTACTTGAGTACAATTTGCATAAAATCATTGTTTGGATTTCAAATATTTCTTTTGCCATTTATGCAAAAATCAATTCTATTTTGTAGGGATTAAAGTTGATTTCTGAACGCATTCACATATATGAAGGAAACTATTATGCGTACGTATAAAGTTGTTTACAATTCTACCTACAAAGGAATTTTAATCTTATGTCTTTGATGATAAGGTTCTTTTTAATTTAAATTTATATTTTTCCTAAGCACCTTATAATGACTTCGTAATAATTCACACAATTAGACGGTGTCTGATATCATGCGAACAAGACGTCTTTCATTTAACAAAGGGTAAGCAGAAATACACAATAAATTCCATTGAAAAAATGTTTCTGCATGAATACGGCCGGCTCGATCCTTATGATACCACGGCCTCACAGAATACCGGCGTGAAACAACCACAGCGTTGTGTTTCGCCGTGTGAGTGAGGTGACCGAGACCCAATCCTTTCAAGCCCCTCTCCTTAAATCTTGGAAATTATAAGGCCGGCAATGCACTCGTAACTCCTCTGGTGTTACAGGTGTCTGTGGCCAGCGCTGATTGCTTTCGATTGAATAATAAATACTCCTTCATGAAAACCTTCTTATTAAAATAACAAAAAACACAAGAAAAAAAAATGAAAATTGGTCCAGGCGTTGTCCGCACTAACACATTTTGCGATATATTCTTAATTATACTTAGGTGAGTACATAAAAACAGTATTTATTCATAAACCCCAAGCGAGCGCCGGCGTTCACGTGCCTATTGTTCTTCTATTGTGTCTCGAATTACCACGATTGAAAGTTTAAGGGTAGAAAACCTCCAAGCACGCTGTTTATAGCAGCGGTAAAACCCTTCTTTGAGGAGTGGCTTGAGAGACGCCACGGCGTCCTCACCTTCCGCCTGACGCAGGTCCTTACCGGGCACGGCAGCTTCGGTAGGTTCCTGTTTCGGATCCAGCGGGAGGAAACGCCCGAGTGTCGTCATTGCGAGGACCACCTAGAGGACACGGTGGAGCATACGTTGGCGGTGTACCGCCTTGTCCTCAGGAAAGTGATCGGAGGCAACGACCTCTCGCGCCCGGCCTTAATCGAGGCCATGGTTCATAGCGAGAGCAACTTGTGCTCGCAAAAGAGGAAGCGGAGATCATCTCTCGATCAGCGATCTCCTATAGGGCTGATGTTCAGCTGGGGTTTATTTATTTATTTATTTAAAAATCTCACCTTATACTATCATTACAGATTTCTCCGATGCGATAGCTTAGGCCTATAACTAAATCTAAGTACTTATTTACAAATTAAAACCAACATAAAAAAATCAAAAAGAAATCATATACAACACCTTAATTATGAATTAAACTTAAGAATTAAAAACATACAAAGGAAAAAATTTGGAAAAACATTACCTATCTTCTTAAACTAAAAATGCACCTATAACATAACTTACTTAATCAAAGAGTATGTATGTAATTACTTAATCATTAAAAAACCTAACATTAATCTTTAAAAGTAAATGGGGATAATACTGTCGACACTATGGTCACGAGATCAGCAGTGCAACTACTTACTAAATAACAAAAATTAAAAATAAATAAATTATATAGTAATCTTAATTATTGTTGTGGGGTGAGTGCGGCCTCGGCCCAGAGCAGGAGAAGGAACGGGGAGGTTTTAAGTCAGTAAGAGTCTGACACTCACTCTTCTCTCTATTTTTCTCTAGAAATTTTGTTTACATACAAAAAAAAAACGTTTAAAAATTTAATGACCTAGATTTCTTTGTTTATAAACACAGACTGTATAATCAATGTCAGATAAAGATATAAATATAAATATACTAGCGTCCTACGTCATCCGTTTTGCACACAACATTCTCTGAAATGAAACGGATTGCACAATGTTTACAAAATATTGCGAAATGCGGATGACGACGGGAACGGATCGCGGTCACGTGTGTGGACGATGAAGTTCGGGAGAGCCATGCTTCGACACGAATGGGTCGGCTCGACCGGAGTGATACCACGGCCTCACAGAAAACCGGCGTGAAACAACCACAGCGTTGTGTTTCGCCGTGTGAGTGAGGTTTCCGGAGGCACAATTCTTCCCCCCTCCCCTTATCCTTAATCCTCAAATCCTCTCAAGAGGCCAGCAAAGCACTTGTAGTAACTCCTTTGGTTTTACGAGTGTCTATGGGCGGCGATGATTGCTTACCATCAGGTAATCCGTCTCCTCGTT